CTTCATTAGAGTTCTACTTCTCAATAATTTGCTCAGTATACTGATTGAATAAGTATTGATGCACACCATTCTTAATTTTAAACCATGCAGCGTTTCCTTGCTTTGTTTATACAACTGCCTCTTGGGACAGGTTTTGTATGAATAGTCAAGTGTTCTGGGATTCACATTCTTCTCAACATTAGCCAAAATTTGTTATGCTCCACACAGTCAACTGCCTTTGTAGAGTCAATGAGACACAAATACACATTATCCTGGTATTCTCTGCTTTAAGCTAGGATCCATCTGACATCAGCAATGAAATCCCTGATGCCATGACCTCTTCTAAACCCAGCTTGAACTTCTGGCAGTTCTCAGTCAACAATACATTATTGTTCTAGCCATTTTTTAATGATTTTCAACAGTGTTTTGCTTGCATGTGATATTGTTTGATAGTATCTACATTCAGTTGGATCAGCTTTCTTGGGAATGGGAACAAATATTTCTTTAAGTCTGTTGGCCAGGAAGCTGTACTCCAATTTTCCTGGCATATCCATGGCATCTGATAATTGAAACCTTTCAATTGGTATCCCACTGATTCCTGGGGCCTTACTTTTGTTCCCAGTGCCTTCAGTGCAACTTGGACGCCTTCCTTCATTACCATTGGCTCTTGGTTGTATGGTATTTCCTGAAATATTTCATGTCAGCCAATTCTGGTTGGTAAAGTGATTCTGTGATTCCCTGGATTGTTCCAGAGAATGCTTCCTGGATTATTCTAGGAATGATGCTGTTGTGTTTTGGGAAAGCAGCTCCAACTCACAGTGACATTATATCCAACAGGATGAAACAAATACTCCTATGCTTGAGCCCACTGGGTAATCACTGCGTCAATCCATCTCATTGAAGATCTTCCTCTCTTTCACTGACCCTCTACTTACTAAGCATATCTTCCTCCAAGGACTGACCCATGCTGAAAACACACACGAATTATATCAGACTAAACTATCCTTTCCTCTAAGGGACATTCTAGCTGTATTTCTTTCAACTCAGACGTGTTTGTTCTTTTGGCTGTTTGTCGTATATTCAGTACTCTCACCAACACCGTAAATTAATAGCATTAATTCATATTCAGTGTTATTTTTTAAATTATCCAACTTTTATATGTGTATGTGGCATTTGGAGCTTCGTCTGACATACTTTGGACATGTTGCAAGGAGGGAGAGGTCCTTGGAGAGGGACATCATGCTTGGGAGGGTGGAGGGACAGCGCAAGCGGGGAAGACCCTCTATGAGATGGATTGATTCAGTGACTAGGGTAATCGGGATGGGTGTGTCAGAGGCAATGCAATTGGCACAGGATAGAGCAGGGTTTAGGGCTGTTGTACATAGGGTCGCTATGAGTCACAAGTGACTCGATGGTACATAACAATAACAACCACATGTGCATTTGATAATACCATGGCTGTGTCAGACATGCCTAAATTCTCAAAGCGACATCCTTGATACTTAATATTTCAGAGATCTTTTGCAGAAAATTGTCCCAGAGCAATGTCATTTGATTTCTTGACTGCTGTTTCTATGAATGTTGATTGTAGATCCAAGTAAAATTAAATTCTAGACAACTTCAATATTTTCTTAATCTCTGATGATGCTGTTTACTATTCTAGCTGTGAATAAATTTTTTTCATGTTAAATTGTAATTCGGACTGTATGAAAGACAAAAATGATCATTCTCGTTTTTTATCTTCACTCATAAATGCTTCAGATGTTCTTAGTTTCCACGAACAAGATTGTGTCATCTGCGTATCACAAATTTTAAATGACTGTGTTGCTGGTTCTGACGTTACATTCCTGATGCTCAGCATTCAGTCTGAATAAATGTTTTTAAAGGATAACACTGTTGGTGCACACCTTTCCTGATTTGAACTATGCAGAAATGTTTAACCATGTCAGAGAACAAGTTTCTTTTTCTTATTTTGTATGTGGTCTTTTATGTATTTATCGTGTTAAACATTGTTTTCTTATTTTCTTAGTGTTTTTAAAAACATAAGCATAATTCATACTTAATGACAAATTCAAACACATAGAGTAAAAAGTTAATCTCAACCACCTCAGCTCTGCATCTCCATTCTGAAATCTTTTTAAAACTTTATTTTAAGGTTTCATGTGTATCATTTTGAAAATCACCTAATATCAAGAAGTACAATAATATCTGGCTCTTCTTTTTACGTAAATAAGATCATGGTATATATGCTTTATTTCCAATAATAATCATATATGTTATATACCTATCTACTGTTTCCTGTGCATCAGAAAGATGGACAGTGAGTAAGGAAGACAGAAGAACTGATGCCATTAAATTGTAGTGTTGCAAAAGAACACTGAGTATCTCATCGGCTGCCAAGAGACCAAATAGGTCTATATTGGAGGAAGTACAACCTTAGAAACAAGGACTGTGAGACTTTGCTGCACATGCTTTGGCCATGCTGTCAGGAGAGGCCAATCCCTGGAAAAAGACATCATGCTGGGAAAGTTGGAGGGTCAGAGAAAGAGGAAGACCCTCAACAAGATGGGTTAACACAGGAACTGAAATAATGCACTTGACAGTATTGGAGATTGTGAGGATGGTACCGGATAGGGCAAGGTTGTTGCTAGAATCACCACGAGTTGTGAGAGACCTGATCGTACAAAACAACAACTATATCTTGAGTCTGCATCACTCTTTATTACGTATTGCCTAGCATCTTGTTATACAATCGACTATTTTTAACAAATTCTCTTGCTTCCTCTCTCTCTCTCTGAACTTTCTTTAGATGAACACTTGAGCTGTGTTGAAATCTTATTATAATAAATGCTTCTGTAAATATCCATGCATATATAAAAATGTCTGTAAGATAAAGCCTCAGTAATGGCTAGATCAAAAACACGTGCTTTTCTTTTGAGAGGTACTTCAAAATTGCCCTCCCTAATGGATATAAATCTCTGTAAACATGAATTTGTATATATTGCTCTTTTCTTCTTAAACAGCATTCAGTTTTAGGATCAACTGTTGTTGTTGTTAAGTGCCGTCAAGTCGCAGGTGACTCATAGCGACCCTATGAAGGAGAGTCCTCGACGCTTGGGTGTCTTTCGTCCTCTCTCCAGGTTCATAGGGTTTCCAGAGGCAATCTGTTATGGAAGTGGATGCCAGTCCTCCTTCCAAGCTTGTTTTAATCGGGGAGCTCCACCCCACTCTCAGTCCGCATTGGGTAACCAACCATTAACACATTTGGCACATCAGTGTCACAGTGTTCAGCCTCACAGCAACCACAAGTGACCGCTGTACGGCAAGTGGACACACCAGGGCTATATGAACTTAACACTCCTCTTCTCCTCCGAGCCCTCGGTGAGCAGGAAGGCCTCATGGCCTTAGAATCAACTAGAAATTCAAAATCAAAACTACTGCTCTCCAAGGGAGCTCTGGTGGCTTAGTGCTGAAGATTTGCACTGCCAACCAAAAGGCACACAGTTTGAATCCGTCAGCTGCTCAGCAGAAGAAAGATCAGCACTCTCTTCCCATGTGATTAGCTGCTTCTAAAAATCTGCTAGAGAGTCAGCAGTGAGTCAGTTCCGACCCAACAGTACATAGCAAAAACAACAAACAGCTACAGAGTCAATTCTGATTCATAGCCGTCTTCTCTATCAGCGTTCCAAGGCTATTAAGCTTTATGGGAGGAACGTTTATCTTTTTCTCGGAGTAGCTGGTGAGTTCAAACTGCACACTCAGAACTCCTTTGCAGGATCAAAGCACTGTGTAAAGGATCACTTCCGGTGAAGAGTGCTGCGCTTGCTCAGTTGTGATTTGCACCTTCAGTATGAATTCCAGAAACACCCTTTGAATGTCCAATCTGGTGACTCACTAAGTTGCTGCCCAGGCTTTTATGGCTGGCTGAGTGCAGCTGCTAAATTTGGGAGGACAGAAAATAATTACATCTCTTGCAACAAGATGCAAGTCTGAAGAATGTGCCCCTTTGAAAATTTCTCAGAAAATAAACCACAAATAATGTTTTAAAGCCAAATGATATCATATAGAAATTATCTAGGCAATACTTATTTTGCGGAGATCCAACAATGTTAGAGCCAGAACGATGTATGTTATTATTGTTAAGTGCCATCTGGTATTATTCAGCGATGTTATAAACAGACATGACCCTGGCTTGTCCTGTGTCATCCTCATCATCTCTTGAGCCCCTTGCTGCAGTCACATTGTCAGTCAATTCGTTTTGTTGAGGGACTTCCTTTCTTTTGCTCTCCCTACACCTTTCCAAGTATTATAGGAATGGCCTATCCTAGCAACATGCCCAAAGTTCGTGAGATAAAGCGTCACCATCCTTGCCTCTAAGGAATACTCTGGTTGCATCCTCTCCAAGATATATTTGTTTGTTCTTTTGGCAGTCCCTGAGATCTAGGATACTATTCTCCAAGGCATCAGTTCTTCTGTCCTCCTTACTCACTGCCCAGCTCTCAGATGCATAGCAAATGATGGAAAAGACATAAAGAACGACCTATGAGGTCATTACAATTCCCTGAATGTCAACACTCAGAGAAATCCAGGAAAGACTGATAGGTTAAGTTTACCTTATGTTCTCAGTCTTTGTTTTCTGTTCCATTTGATCTCTTCCCTGGTGGTGCAGTGTGCTAACCGAAAAGTCTAAAGTTTGTTTCCACCAACCAATATGCTTAAGTAACATGAAGCTGCCTCGGCCCATAAAAATGTACAGCCTACAAGTCCAATGGACACCCGCCAGGAGTCAGAACTGACCAGACCTCTGTGGTTTTGAGGTTTTGCTTTTGGAATGAAGGAAACTAGAGTTCAATTGTTGAAATAGCAATACCTCAAGAAGAGTAAACAAGAATTGTTCCTGTATTTGGTTATTTGGTCCTGAAAATCTTCCTCTTTCCCCACTCCCACTCCCCAGTTTTTACTCTATAGCCTCAGGTTAATTGCACTTATTGTGACTGCTAATGCCTGACATTTCAATGCAGGACTGTGGTTTGCTGATTCACCCAGAGGAGACCTGTGGCCTGAAGCCAATTTCTTCTGACTACATTGAAGCCATTTCAAAGCCTGAAGTGAAGATTTGTCAGTCTGGGGACATAAAAGGTGACTAATCATTTTGAATATCACTTATCTAAAGAAGAAAAAAAAAATCCTTTTATTTAGATACATATGTGCTTACTTAAACTACATTTGTGTGAAATCTCAAAGCAATACACTTTTTCCATCACAATCAAGAATCACAACACATGCAACACTAAGTGTATTTTTTTTAATATTTGAGAACACAGATTTCTCCCTCTTCTCTTTCCCCTCTCTGCCTGTGCCCAGTTTATTCACATTCGCCATACAGATCTCAGCTCAGAAGTACCTCTTTCAAAAGCCTTCCTTGAGTCTCTGTAATAAGTTTTCTTATTATACATTTTCATAGCAGTCTACACTTGTCTTCTGTAACTGCACTTTAAACAAATAATTAGTCATTAGTTCTTAAATGTCAACCTTTCCACTTGTTATATGTCACGAGGGCAAGGACTGCAAGCAGAGTGTTCAAACTATATAAATAAATTCATTTGGCACCATAACTTCTACGTCAAAACTCAAGCTCAAAAAATATTTAAAATCCTCAAGCCCACTGTGGTGGAGTTGGAACCAACTCAGAGCGGCCCCTCCCTCCAGAGACTTTCAGAGGCTATAAATTGCACCAGGGGAGATTGTCTTTCTCCCTCAGAGCTGCTGGTGGATTCAGATAGCCAGGGATTTAGTGTGGCCTTTGGGTTAGGAGTATGACTCCCTATCTATGACGCACAAGAGCACCCCAATTTTTAAATAGCTAGAACTACATGGAAGCCCTGAGTGGCAGAAAATATTAGCACACTTGGCTGCTAACAGAAAGGTTCATGATTTGAGTCTACTCAGAGCAGTCTCGGAAGAAATGTCAACCATTGGAGGCCCAGTGGAACACAGTTCTACCCTGACACATATGAGAACATTTTAAGTTACAGTCTACTCCATAACCGGTACAGACACTGTGATCCAAAGAACTGCAAAGCCTCCCAGTTCAGTTTTTTGTAAATTTTTTCTTATTTAAGAAATTGTGAATGATCACAATGTGTAATGTGATTGTTGTTGTTGTTGTTGTTGTTGTGTGCCATCAAGTCCATTGTGACTCATAGCTACCCTACGTACAAAAGCCCTAAACTCTTCTCTATCCTGTGCCAACCTCACCATCTCCGACAAACTCACCCCCACCACCCCAATCACAGAATCAATCCATCTCATTGAGAGTCTTCTTTCCTGTGCCATCCCTCCACTCTCGCAAACACGATGTCCCTCTCCAAGGACCAGTCCCTCCTTGCAACATGCCCAAAGTATATCAGACAAAGCTTCAGAATCCTTGACTCCAAGGAGCAGCCTGGCTTTACCCTCTCCAGGACAAACCTGTTTTTTCTCCTAGCAGTCCATGGTATATTCAACACTCTTCTCCAGCACCACAGCTCAAAGGCATCAATTCTCTGTCTATGATCCCTAGTCACTGTCCAACTCTCCGATGCATAGCACGTAATTGCGAAGACTATAGCCCAGATCAGACGCACCTTAGTCTCCAGCCTGATGTCGTTATTCTTCCATACGTTTGAGAGGTCCTGACAGCTGACTTTCCCAATGCAATTCTTCTCTTGATTTCCTGGTTGCTGGTACTAAGAGTGTTGACTGTGGAGACAAGCAAATTAAAACTGTTAACTATCTCAATCTCTTCACCATTCATACTGATGCTGCCAATTGGTCCAGTGGTGAGAATCTTTGTTTTCTTGATGTTGAGCTTCAATCCATATTGAAGAATGTAGTCCTTGACCTTCTGCTGCAAGTGCTTCAGGTTCTCCTCAGTTTCAGCAAGCAGGGTTGTATCATCTACCTAATGCAGGTTGTTAATGACTCTACCTCCAATCCTGATGTATATTCCTCTTCGTACAGCTCAGCGTCTCAGATGATCTGTTCTGTATACAGATTGAAAAGGTATGGAGACGGAATATATCCCTGACAGACCCCCTTCTTGATTTTGAACCATGTAGTGTCTCCTTGTTCTGTTCTGATGACTGCCTCTTGGTCCAGTATAGGTTTCGCATAAGCACAATCAAATGTTCTGGGATTCCCATTCTTCTCAGAGTCAGCCAGAGCTTGTTGTGATCCACAGTCAAAAACCTTTGCATAGTCAATGAAGCGCAAATAGACATTCCTCTGGTATACTCTGCTTTCAGCCAAGATACATCTAACATTAGCTATAATATTCCTAGTACCACAACCTTTTCTAAATCCAGCCAACACTCCCCTATATATTGATATTTAATAAGTGAACCAAAAAATATAAATCCCCAACTCACCTTATTGAAGTCAATTCTGATTCCTTCAGACTTTCAAGGCTGTAAATATATTATGGGCGGAAACTGTCTTTGTTTTCTGCAACTGAATGGCTCGTAGATTATACCACTTAACTTTTGATATCAGGCTAACCATTATGTACAACACCAGGGCTCCTTCCTGAGATTAATGATAGCTGGAATCTTATGTCAAGATGAAATCACCGTGTTCAATCCTACCTCCAATTTGAGAAAACAAGGAGAGAAACATTTCGGTGTCACTCTCCTTTCCTTATTTCTTTCTTTTCTCAGCGTTCCTCCTGCAGCACGGAATAAAGAATCCCAAAGCTGGGACTCAGATGCCTCCAGAGTGCTTCAGGAGCCCCAGGCAACTTCTCTGAGCTTCCTGGTTATCAGTCTTCACTGACCCCAGGTTTCCCTTCATCAGAAAAGTCTGAGAAAACACTCAGAATGTTTCCTACCCTCACCGTGAACTTCACACCACAGCTTGACTGGGAAATGAGTTTCACAAATGGGCAGGGAGAATTGCAATTTGGCATGCGTGGTTAGCAAACGTAGGCATGTCCCTGTTCTTGAACATATGTTCTGAATAATAAATGACGACGATTGCACAGGGAGGGATTTACCCATTACGTTGTGTCAGGTGGTGGGATTTGTGAGTCTCTGCTATATGAGAGACATAAACTTACACATCAAGGAGATAGCAGTCTGTCTAGGAGGTATTTTTTCATCAGCTGACAATTTATGATAATCATAAAACAACTTAATTCTACTCCTCTTACTGAATCAAGTCAAAAGTTGTTTAACAAAAAGTTCAAGGTACATAACTGGAATTCCTGGAGAAGCAGCAGCTTCTTCTGTCTGTTAAATTTGCTATAACTTATGTCTGACCCTGTTCTGAAGCTGTCTCATGCCTGGTTCTTACTAGGATGCTGTCATAAAACAAAGATCTTCTAGTACCTGAGTAGCCAGACACCTTGCAAGAAACCCTATTGGCTCCTAAATCAAGTCCAACGTCCCTGATATTACAATTGCAGGTCCCCATAAACAGGACCAATCCTATCTGTCTGACCCCTCTCAAGACTTACACGCCTCTCTTTATGGAAAGAAAACAGGTTTTTTCCTTTCTTTCTTTTGTTTTTTTTCTTGGCTGAAATCTGAAAACAGGTTTCTTAAGGACCCTGGGATCTTGCCAATACTGCTTCTTATGCCTAAAAGATTGTGAATTAGCGGTAAGGAGTCACGCTGCCACCTCAAAGGCACATGTTTAAATTCGCCAGGTTTTCCACAGGAGAAAGATGGACAGTCTTCTCCTGTGCATTTTACTGCCTCTGAAAACCCATTGGAAGGTCAGCTGTAGATTGGTTCTGACTTCACGGTACACCACAACTTCAATGCTTGACTTCCCCCGAGATCTCTATCTTCCACTCTGGGAAGATTTTCTTCAATACCATCCTACCTCAGTTTACCTTCTCTGTGCTTCTAAAGCATGCTGGGTACACATCCAAAGTAAGAAACCAGTTAGACCAGCTGTCATCAACTGAATTGTATCTGATGGCAAATTTGTACATATCAGAGTATAACTGAGCTCCGTAGGGTGTGCAAATGCTCATTATCATAAGAGGATCACAAAGCCTTTCTCTAGAGCACTCAAACCTCAGGGTGGACTTGAACTTCTAATTTTTCCATTTGCAGCTAGACACGTTAGCCCTTTGTGCCATCCAGGGATTCCATTTATGATAATCCTTATCACATTATGTTTTCAACTTACACTGCTGTGTTTCTGCCTTTGACTAGTAGCTTGTGAAGTACCTTAAAAAGAGGGAGAAATGGCAAAGGACTATACAAAGGGGTGAACATGGTAAACACTAAAATACATGAACATTTGATTCTTTTTAAAAAGTAAAATTTTATTTTCATTATGATTTTAATGAACATTGACAGAGAAGTTAGATTTTCATTCATTCATTGTTGTACATTTTACCCCCTCACCCTCCCTTCTCCCTCCCCCAGTTCACTTTTTTTTTAATATTCATTCATTGTTGAACAATTACTTACCTCCCACCTTCCCCCAGTCCACTTTGCAATGACATCTCTCTTTCTGGGCTGTTGCATGTACACATTTTCCATGTTTTACAGCAGATATATAAATAAAGGAGTGGTTGGGTACCATAGAGTCAGAACCAACCCATAGCTGACTCTTCAGACAGGTTTTCAGAGGCAGTTAATCACATGGGAGGAGATTTCCCATCCTCTTGAAGAGCAGCTGGTGGATTCGAACAGTATGCCTTTGGGATTGAAGCACAACTTCTTGCCACTAGTCCACCAGATCTCTCCCAAATAAAAGAGTAGATGTATGTAAACACTACAACAATTATACCTATATTAATATGGGATACATGAGTAGTTAGTTTGGAGCATATCAATCTTTGGTCTTTTACCAAGATTTTTCCAGAGATGGAGCTATTATGAGTCAAACAGCATAAAACAGTCACAGATTATGTGTTTCTCCAGATTCTTTCATTGCTATCAAGTCAGAAGCAACTTTTAGGTGAGCCTGCAGTGGGTTTTTGAGACGGTAAATTGTCTGTCTCTTTTCCACAGATCTACTACTGGACTCTGACTTCCAGAGAGGCTCAGCCTTTGGGTTAACAGTGTAACTCTCTACAGACATGCCTCACGAGCTCTCTGCTCTGCACTACTTTTGTATATATCTGGAGAGACGTGACTATT